TTTATCCTGTTGCCCCTTCTCTGCGGTCCTAACCCTCAGTGAAACTTGGGTTATTTTTGAACATGCTCCGTTTATAAGAAGTACAACTATTTGAGTGGGCTATACCAAAGTTAGCCTAGCTTTTGAGTGTAATTCAGATGGAGGAAATCAAGTGACATTTACACACTGTAGGGTGACATTATTTGGTAGTTGTCACACTGTCCACCAAGGTCAAGACAATTATTACTATATCATAGCTATTAGAGCAGAGATGACTATCTAAAATGTTAAAAAAAGCCACAAGATAGAATATACCTAAAGATAGTTTTGTATGTTCATTCTTAAATGTATATTGGACCAGCAATTTCTTTATGTATTTGTCATAGAGTTTTATTTTCTCCAGTACTTGGGATCAAAACCAGGGCTTGTGCATGGTAGGGAAGGCTTCTACCACAGGACTGTGCCTTTAGTCCTATTCACCAAAGTTTTAGTGGACCAGGGATGACTAAAATATTGGAGAGACCAAGATGCTTAGATTTAGTTCACTCAAAGATTATCTACTGAGAGTCTAATGTGTGCCAGGCTCTGTTTGAGAACCTGAGGATGGCTGTGGTGGTTTGAAAGAAAATGGCCCCCAAAAGGAGTGGCACTATTAGGAGATGTGACCTTGGTGGAGTAGGTGTGGTCTTGCTGGAGGAAGTGCATCACTGTGAGGGTGGACTTCAAGGTCTCATGTATGTTCAAGATATCACCCAGTACCTGAGACCACTTCCTGTTGCCTGCTCAAAATGTAGAACTCTCAACTACCTCTCCAGCACCATGTCTGCCTGCACGCCACCATGTCCCGCCGTGATGATAATGGACTAAACTTCTGAAAATGCAAGCTACCCCAATGAAATGTTTTTCCTTTATCAGAGTTGCTGTGGTCATGGTGTCTCTTGACAGCAATAGAAACCCTAACTAAGACAATAGTCAGCAAACATACAATGCCGTGTGGTGTTAAATCTGACAAAGGAAGTTATCACAGAACAAGAGGTCAGAGTCACGTGTGTATATGTGTGTTTGCACATGTGCATGTGTGAGTGTGGGTTTTTGTGAGCACATAGGCCCAGACACATGGATTACATCTTGTGGCCAATCAATGCTAGGTCAGATGAGGAGTGTGGTGTTAGGGCAGGGTAAGAGCGAATGCCGGGTATTCAAGGAGTCTTCCAGAAGAAACAGTAAGAAGGCTACTGTAGCTATAGCAGGGTTAGAAGACAAGAGGGACAAAGTCATACAGCACCTTGTACACGACCTTTGTACTTGTACAAAGGAAGAGTGTGGGCATGGAAGGAAGGGACCGAGGGGCTGAGATTGTGGATGGTCTCCCACCAGCTGGGTGGAGACACGTAGGGGACAGGTTTTGAAGCAGGGAGTTGGGAGGCCACTATGGTAGTGTGGATGACAGATGATGGTGGTGTGGAGAGGAGGGTGGTGGCAGGTGGCCAGGTTTGGTTCTTGGTGCGTTGTGAAGGCCGGACTCATTTGTAAAGACAAGGGATACTGACTGATGGTTGAATGGAGGAGGATGGTTTTCAAAGGAGTCACAGATTACCCTGGTGTTTGTTCTCAGCCACTGGGCAGAAGAAACCAGTGGTGATCTTCTGTGGAGCAGAAGGGAGGTGGAAGAGCAGATGGGAAAATCAGAAAGAAAACATTGGCTGGAGATGCCCATTAGATCGATAAACAGAGTGGGGCAGTTGCATAGACGAGTGCTCTGAGGCTTGGCGGGGACAGATATAAATATGAAATTGGTAGTCTATCAATGCTGACATAAGCTGTGAAGCCAAATTCCAGCACCTGGGTCCTGCGGCTAACTAGAGAAGGGAACCAAGGGACTGACCACTGAACTACTGTACCACTCAGCCCTTGGGCGATGGGGGAGGCGCAGAAGAGGTAGAGAGAGTTGCTGGGGTGAAGAACAGAAACAGGAGGAGATATTCCAGAAACCAAGCTAAAAATGTGTTTTAAGGCGAGTCCAGAACCATCAAAGCCTCTGCAGAGCGAGACGCCGGCTGGACGCGCAGCGAGGGATGACCTTCCTTTAAGGAGAGTCACAGCACAGAGCCGGTTGGGGGTGGCCGTAAGGAAACTCATAAATCATGATGGGATGGCGCAGGCTGTGCCCTAGAAAGGTAAACACATTTCGAGAGGTGGACTGGACGCAGATCGAGGAACCCTCCTTGGGAAGTTCAGGAACGCCACCTAGAGTTGGTGTGCTTTCGGAGTCTGGTAGTTTGTAAGGACAGGTAAACAAACTAGGGGTAATAAAACTTCAACTTTCCCCCCAGCCTTTTCTGTCTTCTGACATTACTTATGCGAAGTTGGTGTTTCACCTCTTGAGTTAACATCCCATTTCCTACTGTAGCCAGGCAGGGCTGTCAGTTCTCCGCTCCACGGTAGCTATTTTATAAGGATAATAATACGCTCTATCCCGCCCTCTCCTCTTAATGACAGCATACTCTTGGAATCACATTCCCCTCGTTGTAGTTCTTATCTTTTAATAACATTTTCATTTGATTTCATCATGGTGTGCACAGACTTTGATATGATGCCTGACCCCATATTGTGTGTTGGGCACTAAGAACTTTACACACATGAATTCATTTTGCTTCCAAAGATGATTCAAATACCTTTATTGTCCCCGTTATTACCATTATGAACGGATGCACAGAGAGGGTAAGTAGCTTTCTCAAGGCCACAGAGTAATGAAAAACACAGTATTAGAACTGGATCATGTGGTATGGCTGTACACTGTCCTTACCACTACATACATACTCTCCCAGATGGACCATCATAGTGAGCCATCTTCAAGAGACAGGCTGTCCTTGACTTCAAGGCCACTTTTCTAAAGACACAGCATCTGTGTTTCCTGTTGCCATATCAGAGTGGGTCAGTAGGACCCAGGGGACTGAAAACTGAATCCAGATGGGGAAGGGGGCCTTTGCTTGTATTTTAGAGTTGATTTGCTCCCCGGTGGCCACCTACAGGCTGATGCACAGCCAGAGCAAGAATGAGCAGGGTGGAGTCTTTGGGATGGAGATCAGCACTTCGTGAGTCTCTGGTGTGAGTGTGGTTCACACCTTTCTTTCCCTTTTAACCACATGGCCAGCACATGAGACGATCCCATATGAAAGAAGTACATAGCATAAACCGAGGTGACTGTGTTCAGGAATGTCTGCAAAGAACCGCTTTGTGTCTAGGGGATTCCTTGGGAACTAAAATAATCCAGTTTAGTTCATGAAAACCCAAATATTAAAACTGCTTTGAGAGGTTTTGGTGATCAAACACTTAGTCATTGTGCATATAATTGAAATATAAAATAACTCAACGCTAGCAAAGTCTAGCTGGTTTGACCTCTAGCTTTTTTTATTTTTTTTTCTTAATAGGCTAACTTCATTTCCAAAGATGGTTTTGTCTTTCTTGCCAACAAGAAAGACTGTATGTAATTGGCTCACCCAAGGGATGGTTATCTGGAGACATAATTTCCCAGGCATTAGAAGCCTTTCCTTTAGTAGATTTTCAGTTCCATCTTTGATCAGAAAGCTCCAGAAATAAAGTACTGTCCACTTTCCTTTCTAGCATTAAGAAGACACAGGGGAAAATAACTTCTGCTACAGTGTTTTCAGGACCAGAATTAGAGTCCCCCCCTCAAGGTACATAGCCCTATATTTTACATTTCCCCCCTCTCAAGATAAACATCTGTTTTTATCTTTGTCCCATTCTCATTAAAAAGTTCTTCCCTGGCCATAGCCAGTACATTTTCAGAAAAGCCCAGAAGATTTGGTGTTAGAATTTGCAGGGAATTTCTACAAATATAAAAAAACCTGTTAGGAAATGGACCCCCCTCCCCGGCAGTGAATCTCTCCCCTGACTGCTGTATACCACTGTTGCAAATACGCACTTAAAAGGAAGAGATGATGGGGGTGAGTGACTATGATGCTCTGGAGAAGCGGCTACTTCCTCTGGAGGGAGGATTTCAAATGGTCACAGAGCAGACTCGGGCTGGCTTCCTGTGGGCCGCTTCCTTCATACTGATCCTGATCTCGAGCTAAGGTGAAGAGAGAGGAATTTTCCTCCCACCAGACCCCAGATCCCTGATAACTCACTGGTGATCGTGATGTTCAGAAAATGTTGTAAAACCGAGGCCACAGTGAGTGGAGAGAAACACATCAGTTTCCATACGGAAATCTGACCGGTCACAGCCAAGATGGGAAACAAGGCAGGCTGCTGACCGAACTCCCACAAGCTTTCAAACACTCAAAAGCTCAAAGTCCCCTGAAAGAATTAAGTGGTGACCACAGCATGGGAACATGGTTTAAAATAGTTCATACTCAAATTTGTCTTTTCAGGGCATACTCGGAAATGATTTTATTTGCATTTGAATTTTTTTACTCTTAAAAACCTAGCAATCTTTTACTTAATTTCCCCATTCAATATTTAAAAGCTTGGGATACCTTTCCCTCACCTACCACCCCAGAAGAGAGAAAGTACAAAATTTAAGCCCCAAGTAATCCAGAAAAAAAAGAGAATGTTTTAGTGGTTGGTTTTCTTAGCATTTTCGTTTATGACTAGCATGAAGGAGTAGATAACGTGTAGAGAGTAGAGCATTCTTCCCACGTGTCTAGTCGTGATTTTTTTAAAATGGAAATTTATGCAATTACACTACACTTAAAAAAAAAAGATCATCGTGAAAAGTTTAGGAAAGTTTAGACGCGAATGTTGAGAACAATTTCTGGCCCCGAGGTCTGGGGGATATTTTCCAGGATTACACATTTGTTTCAAGCTGGGAAGGCGGTGCCATGTAAATTCATGCACAGGTTCTCCCCAGGATCCTAGCACCCTTCTTGGCTGAGTTAACCTGGTACCTGCCAGGCCCACATCTGGCTCTGACTTTCGGGGTAAGCCAGGCCCCTGTGAACGTGTGCCCCCATGCCCACCGCTCATCTAGATCAAGTTGGTGCCCGCTTTTTCCCTACCTGCATAGTGGTCAAACACAGTGGGCACGTACTCCTCCGGGAAGGCGTCGTTGGCGTAGCTCATCAGCAGGCAGGTCTTCCCCACCGCGCCGTCCCCGACCACCACACACTTGAGGATCCTGTTCTCGTCGCGCCCACCGCAGCCGCAGCTGCTGTCAGTCCCCTCTCTGTAGCTCATGTTGGCGGCTCCAGCTGCTGCTGCTGCTGCTGCTGGGGCTTCTGCAGCGCATGGAGCGGTGGGACCGGCCCCAGGCTGGAGCTCAGGCGGCCTGACGGTGGCTGGGCTGGCTCGCCCAGGCACGGCCCCGACACACACAAGCCCCGCCGCTCACCATGCTGGAAGAGGAAGGTAGCACACTCTTGGCAGGAGGGATGACAAAAGTCTGTGCCTTTCCCCCAGTGGCTGGAGTTAAGGCGCTCTCATTTGCACAGACTTCCCGGGACTTCCTGGCAGTCTAGAAATTCCAGCAGCCTGTGAAGAGTCTCACTCTGCCCTCCCCATCCCCAGCCTGGCTGATGACACGGTGAGATTTGGCTAACTCCTGCCTGGTTTTCCACCACACAGCTAACATGGAGGCGAGCAGGGCTTTTAAACGGAGTTTCCCCCCTCGCTTCCTCTGGCTTGCCGAGCGTCAGGAAATCGTGGGCTTCCTGCTGCATTCCATATTAGGATCAGTGGGCCGGGAAGGCGGCAACAATGGGGCTCTGTGCGTGTGTTTGTACTTCTGGGGAACCAGGCCAGGTCGCAGAGTGGGAAAACACTAGGGGTCCCGCAGCCGGCTGAAGCCGTCAGACTTCCTGTTTTATCCCCTGCTAGCCAGGCTGCAAGCCTGTGCCTGGGAAGAAGCCAAAGGAGAACGGATGGAACCCGGGGAGCCCTGTCTGCCACAGCAACAGGATGGGGCTGAGTTGGGAGCCTGAGGGAGCTGAGGGAACCACATCAGGGATTGCAGGCGAACACATGACATCATCCATCCCTCCCTGACTCGAAAACGACAGTTTTTTCTTTACTTAAACGAGAAACTCAAGTACTTCTTTTCCAGCAGTGAGGAAGAAAACCTTCCAGAGTTACACTGTTTCAAAGGGGGGAAACTGTACCTGTTGTAGGTATACTACACGTGATCAAGTCCCCATTTGAACACAATGCTCAAATATGCATTCCAGAGCCCCCAAAACACCCCCTAAGGTTTTTACATAAAGGAAATCAATCAGATATGGGGTATCTGAAATTTTTCTTACTATGCATATGCAAAAACTGGGCTCGTCCTTCACTCTCTCAGAAGTGAGAGGCTACAGCGGGCCGGGCCTTTCGGCTTAGTTAGGGTTCTCTAATTCTGTTTATGCTTGGATGCGCCCCTTTTTATTTGAATCATCTCTTCCTGGGTCAGCCTGGCCCTCTTCAATGACTTAACAGCTAGTGAATTTGTTTGGTACCTCAGAATGAAGCCCTGTTTCATTAATGGACTTGGTCTTGGAAATGTGACCCTGCAAATGATTTTGACAAATGGGTTAAAGTCAGAGAACTTTGTTTTTCTACGAGATTTTGAAGATTGCAGATGATCTAATGGCTTTGAGCAGTTTTACTAGGACCAGGTTAGAGGAAAATCAGCTTTAGTAAGTGTCTGTCAGTAACTTGTGTATCTACAAATCATATGCATGCTATCGTGTAATAGAGTCCAACTTTCTTCTGTTTTTGGATTAGAGTAACATTTGCCAAGATGCTCAGTGCCCCAACATTTCTTTTCTATGAAAGAATAACATTTCAATTAGGCCTAGAGTGCCAGGGATGTTTTGTTGCCATAACAAACAGTCCCCAAAGTTCAGTAATTTGAAATAACACTTTTTTTTTGGTTTGTTTTTGTTTGTTTGGTTTTTTTTTGCTTACCTTGTATCTCTTCCATGCAGCATTGTGCTCTTTATTCAGGTTGAGGCTGACTGAACGATCACACACACATTGATCACCGTGGCCGGAGAGGAAATGGACACCGAGAAGAGGCTTTGACTCTGGGTTTTCTTTAGGAAGTGACACCTCTGTTCACATTCATTGGCCAGAACAAGTGGCCACAAGTACTCATGCTGACTCAACAGAGGGCTCAGAAGCATCCTCCTGCCCTGGGCTGGGAGGGAGGCACCGCGTGCTGATGAACAGCCTGAATGACAAATCAAAGGTAACATATTGGGGCTGTACTTGGAACGTGAATGGTTCCTATCAAGCCACACTGTGAAGCCTTTGAAGACCTCCGTGGCTGCCTGTAGTTGATAGAATTTTATTTTCATTTGGTCTCTCTGCGGAACCTGGGGTAAGTGGAATAAAACTGTAATTTAGAAACCTACGTTATACTTCTGCATAAAAGGCTTCAAGGGTGAAGGAGGTCTTCAAAGGAACCATGCAGGGGAAGGAGTGATTGCAGTGCAAACAGAGCAAAACAAAACAACAGCAACCAAAACAACGAAAAACCCCCAACCCCAACAACAGCAACAGCTGCAGCAACACACTTGCCTTGAGATGAACAGCCTCACTGCAGCACAGTGCGATGGCAGGCGACTGGCCGAACTGTGAGGGGTTGTCCTTGACCTTTAGGCTGAGATCTGGCGGTGAAGGCGGCATGACATTCTGTGCACAGAGATCCGAAACATGGTTCCCAGCCTGGTCAGCTAGGAGCTGCATCTGCACACGATAAATATTAGACCCCCGTAAGGGCTTCCGGTGAGATTTTGCTATTTCTGTGTGTAACCTAAATCTTGCACCACCGGACACAGATGGTGAAGTCCATTCTCAACGTCAAGTGGATTCTGTAGTGAGTGGGACCTTTAAGACACTTCAAGAAGCTAGATGTGTGTGTTTCAGTCTGTGGGTCGGTACTTCTGCCGAGTTGGAAGGAATGCGCAAACGGCTTATTGCTCTCTAGAGAAAGTTAGTTGTATTTCTCACAATAAAGTGGTTTTTTAATCACTACTTATTATCCCCTAAATTTAATAATTATAGAAAGAAGTTTGAGCACTCTATTAAAAATAACAAAAAGTTAATATTTTAACATTTCAGCCTTATAATCAAGTGGATCACACTGTTCGTGAAAATAAATAATTTTTAATATTAAAAACTTTAAACATCAAGACTGGTATGACAGCTGGGTCAGGTGGGGCACTACTTTAAGTCCGGCACTCAGGGGATGGATCTCTGTGAGTTCAAGGCCAGCTGGTCTATATAGCTGGCTCCAAGCCAGGCAGGGTTGTCTAGTCAGACCTTGTCTCAAACAAAACAAAACCCCAAAACAACAACAACAACAACAACAACAACAAACCTAACAGGAACCTGACTCTTAAGAACAATTCAACATTGTTTGTTGTATTGTGTTTCCCAAAATATTGTGTACCTTAATAAACTTATCTGGGGTCAGAGAACAGAAAAGCCACTAGTTAGGCAGTGGTAGCACACACCTTTAATCCTAGCATTCCACAGGCAGAAATCCATGAGTTCAAGGATATAGACAGGTATGGTGACTCATCATGCCTTTAATCCCAGAAAGCAAACCTTTAATCCCAGGGAGTGGTGGTAGAAAGCAGAAAGGTTTATAAGGCATGAGGACCAGAAACTAGGAGCAATTTGGCCTGGTTAAGCATTCAGGCTTTTGAGCAGCAATTCAGCTGAGACCCATTCTGGATGAGAACTCAGAGGCTTCCAGTCTGAGGAAACAGGACCAGCTGAGGAATTGGCGAGGTAAGATAGCTGTGGCTTGTTCTATCTCTCTGACCTTGCAGCATTCACCCCAATAACTGGCCTCAGGTTTGATTTTATTAATAAGAACTTTTAAGATAACTGCTACAATTGTTCCTTCATGTCCAGGAAACTATGGAGCATGTATGGTTGGCCCGGGTAGAATGCCCAAGAACGGCATCCCATCATAAACATTTGTCTGTGTGTGTTTGGAAGTGGTATGGAGACTGCTGGAGACCGTTTCTAAAACACTCTTAGGCAGATATCTGTGCTCTTGGGGCTTGAGCCATGCAGATGATTGACTGGTGGTTACATAGCCATTAATTATTTGGTTTACCCCACCACCAAGTTTATACAAACTTAACGGTGCATAGTGAAGTCTTGTTGGGTGATTTTTTTTTTCTTTTTCCAAGGGACCTTAATTCTCTGGCTCACTTCTGTCCTCGGTTGCTTTGGTTTCACAGGAATTTATGTAAAAGTCAGCCTAACACACACACACACACACACACACACACACACACACACACACACACACTCATACGCACATATATTTCGGATAAATTCTGACTCATTTGAGTAAGTCCAGTTTTACTGTGACTTTAGTAGAAGAAAGAACCTTGACTTCTCTCCCTTGTTTTCCCTCCAGATGTTGCATAGGGAGGTGGCACAACTGGGTGAGATATTCTTACTCTGGGATAGTCTTTCTGTGGGTGAGTGTTTTGATTCCAGGCTCAGGAATGTGCAGTGTGCTATGATTCAGATGGTTCAAGGATGCCCAGAAGTCACTAGTCACTGGCATTCCAGAGGAAGTCCTCGCGGAGGCTAACTGGTCCCTAACAGTGATGGGGATGCTGTGAATTGGGAAAGACAACACTACATAGTTCTAAAGGTTCTGACCCAAATAGCCTCAAGATTGGCCAGGACGCTAACACTGAACAGAGTGTTCTAGGACTAGCCTGGACTGGAACTGCTTTTCCCAAGGGGGATGAGTCATCTACATCTGGGATGCTCATGTGTCTGTGTTCTTCATCTTTTGAGTGCCTGCACTCGGCTTCCAGTTATTGCTGATGTCATGTACCATGCCATGGCATATCTTATCAGCCACATTTTCTTGCATATGACTTCTTTTTTTTTATAATTCCAGAAATGGATTTCTTCTTCCATCTGGAGGACTTTTCTTTTGTCCCCTAATCTCTTCATTTTAAGAGAAATTAGGTAAATGAGGGGTGGGTGGGACTACTGTCTGTTTAAAGAAAGATGAGGTCTGTTTAACCAAGAGGTTGGGGTCATTCAAATTTCCTCTCTCCAGAAAGTCAGGTCCTAGCACTTGGGAGATTGAGGCAGGGTGATCACAACTCAGAGGCCAGCTTGGGCTATGTAATGAGACCCTGCCTTAAAACGAGAATGGTAACAAAACCAAAAGCACAAAACCACTCCGCCAAATGAACAACAACAAAATCCCCAAACCAACCAAGCAAACCAACACCATCCCCAAACCAAAACTCAACAACACAGGCTGGAGAGATGACTTTGGGGCAAAGTGCTTGCTGCATGCGGACCAGAGTTCAGATCCCCAGCATCCAGGTAAATGCTGGTGGGCATAGGGGCCCACCTGCAATCCCAGAGTTCAGTTGGTGAGATGGGGAGCCTCTAAATAAGCTAGCTAGAAGTCAAAACTGCAAACTCTGAATTTAAGTGATAGACTGCCTCAATGTATAAGATGGAGAGGGATCAAGGAAATCATTCAGTGTCAACCTCTGGCCTTCACACTCACGCACACCCATGTGTGCCCATACATATGAATATGCATACATGCAAACATGCACACACTAGCAAAATAAACAAACAAAAATAATCCAAAAGAGAGAAGAGTTAATGTATAATCTGAGGACTTGACAGATCTCAATAGCTGGTGATGTATATTGGGAAT